AATTAAAAAAAATAAAATTTTCCTTATCCTAAGTTCTTTATGCATTGAATTGCTCTTTTTCTGGTCACTATAGCTACTGATTAGCTGCTTAAATTACCTTTCTTTTAGTAAGTTAACTTTCTTTTAGTATTTTAGTTTTATGCTTCCCTAATATTAACCAGACTAAATAGCACATTCTAAGTTAAGTTAGGCTGGGTCTCCAATTAGGATATTTAAAATGAGTCAAATTGAGTGAAGTTACTAAAAACAGACAAGTGAAAAAACCCCACACAACTCATGTTGCAAAAGCCATTAAGATTTTTTTTTTCCTTGGGGCCGGCCCCGTGGCGTAGCGGTTAAGTGTGCGCCTTCCACTGCTGGCGTCCCTGGTTCGGATCCCGGGCGCGCACCGGTGCACCGCTTGTCAGGCCATGCTGTGGCGGCGTCCCATATAAAGTGGAGGAAGATGGGCATGGATGTTAGCCCAGGGCCGGTCTTCCTCAGCAAAACGAGGAGGATTAGCATGGATGTTAGCTCAGGGCTGATCTTCCTCACAAAAAAAAAAAAAGACTTTTTTTTTTTCTTGCATGGCATAAATATAATCCCTAAAAGATTGTACATGTTTGAGGTTAGGGAGTAGAATAATATCCAATTTACTTTTAAAGAAAAAGACAAAACATGTTAATCTGAAACTTAGTTGAATTTTTAAAATGGTTCACTGCTTTAGGGCAGTTGTATACCGCAGCTTTGAAAATCACAGTAAGATTGATTCCAAGAAAGGATTATGAGCTCTAGCGGGGGTCCCTGTGTGGTTGAAAGGAAGCTGTCGTGGTGTGCTCCCATTTCCCCAAGGCACCGGCTTCAAACGCAGTTACGTTCTGCTTCCCTGTGCTTCCTTCCACAAGAGCCTAAAGTTCCAGCTGGCTCACTGGGGACAGGAAAATGCCTCAAGTCAGGCTGATCTTTATCTGCGAGTATGGCCAGCCCTCCACCACCTGTCCCAGGAGTCACTGTCCAGAGACGGATAGAGATCCTATCCAGAAGACCTCGCTGAAATGTCAGCCACAAAATGTCAATTCTCAAGATAACGATTTAGAAATGTATCTGACTCCACTGAAGCCTTCAAGATGTTTCCTCTGTGATAATATAGCTATCTCTGACTTTATCAGATTTATTCTGGCTTCAGCCTCACTCTGAGGTTTAATTATTGGAGGGACATAATGTAGGATTCGGTTACTGATTTTTAATTAAGTTGATCTCTACCCAGGTCTCACTGCTGCTGATGGGTTTATATTTCCCATATTTCTTGAGGCAAACGTTTTCTTTCTCTAAAGAAATGGCTCTTTTATGGGAAGTGTTTCCAATCTGGGGAAGAAGGTTAGAGTGGCATTTGTTCTCGGGCGCAGGGAGTGTCATTACGGAGTGCTTCTGACGCGACCTGACTGATGGAGCAGGTGTTGATGGATGGGAGTTCGCTGGCTGGTAGAAAAATGTGCAGTAACGGGGAAGATGACGGATTTATGATGCTAAGCAACGTGTAAAGGTTAATATCTTACACTAGTTAAAAAAAGGAATTTCAAAGTATCAATATAGTAAAGCAAATATTATTTTCTTAGGTATGAAACTATTTCAGAGTCACAGAGTTTTCCCGTATTCTTCCCATATATCCTACTATTGTTGAAATACAGAAATAGTAATGTGGCAATAGCACTTTTTGGTAAAGAACACTCCTTTTGTTAATATTCATCTTTATGTTTCCCTAAAGACATATGTTTACATTTCCATTTTGCCATTGGAGGAGCAGAAACACAGAGCACTTGTACTATGTTCAAATATTAAAGTGGGGGAATTAGAGCAATTACCCCACTTTCTGTATCATACAAACACCAGAAGGTGTTAAATAAAATAATATTACATTTACTTCAATTATAGTCAAATACTAACTCATACAGTAGTATATTTACTCATATAAGTGCCCTCATATAATGTTATATTTACTTCAATTATTTGATAATTTTGGCCAGGATTATCTGATGATAATGTTAGTTCTCCATTTTCTTTATTCTGTGCGTATATTTTATGAATTAAGCAAGGTGTTCTATTACAGTTTGATAACTCAAACAAGCTATTTGTGTATTAGTCAGCTATTGCCACAATACTGCTACATAACAAACCGTCCAAAATTCAGTGGCTTATCAGCTAGAGCATTTATTTTTATCACTTATGGGTCTGCAGACTGGTTCACCTGCCTCCGCTCCAGGCTGCAGGTTACCGTACTCGGCTCTAGAGGTCAGGCTGGGTGCAGGTCTGCTCTATATGGATCCACTTTCTCTTTCTCCAGCATTGACTCAGGGCTCTTGGTGAATCATGGGAACACAAAAGGCCAAGCCAAAAACACAAGCCCATTTAAGGCCTCTTCCTACTTCATGACTGCTAATATTCCATTGTCTAAAGCCAGTCATATGGCCAAGACTAACATCAAGTGGACAGAGAAATACATTCTGTCCATTCTAGTGCCCTGCAAAGAGAGGGACTGAAGAATTAAGAATCATCCAATCTACCACTCAATCTATGGCAGGACTTGCCAACGACTTAGGATTCTTGCTCTGGGGTTCCCTGGAGTGAGGGAGTCTCTGACTTATGACATTATTATTATTATTATTATTAGCAGTAGTAGTAAGTATTGTATAATAAGTGTGTATAATGGCACTCGCTGTGCCCAAGTACAATTGTCATTTTGCCCTTGTTAATTTATTAGTATCAGTTAATAAACAAATAGTGACAAAGTATATAGCTTGAACTTTTAAAAATAACATTTAGTTTTTGAAGCTGAGGTATTAATAGAACAAAGCCTGTATACAAACCTCCAACTCCTCATCGCCCCTTGCTGCCTCCAGCCCAGACCATGGCAATGTCCTTTTACCCGGTCTCATCTACTCTAGTCCCATTCCCTTACAGGCAAATGCTACTACCAGATACATTTTTAGATCAGACAACTAGAAAGTGCGTTCTGACCCTACCACTCCTCTGGTCAAGAACCTTTCAAGTGGATCTCCATTATCCACAGAAGAAAGTCTAAACGTCAAATTCTATAATCTGACATTAGAGGCCTTCTATGGAACAGCCCATCCTGTTTCCTAATACTTTTCATTCTTCTTCTTCCTGTGCTCTATTGTTTTCACAAACAGAGTGATGCTTTGCCGTGCATATAATATAAATTCTTGTCCACTTAACTTTGGTTATGAGGTTCTTTCAGCCTGGAATTGCCAAGACTGATCCTATTTCTACATGATCTTGTCCTCTTTGTCTTTCAAGACCCAAATCAAATGTCACTTCTTCCTTGAACATTCTAGATCCTAATAGCCTGAAGTAATCTCCCTCTTTTTGCAAAACACAACTTTCATAGCACTTATCGTTTTCTAAATTGTATCATCATTATTTACCTATGTCTTATTACTGCTATTGAACTATTGTTCATCTTTTCCCACGTCAGTACTAAATATATTTCCTTGAATATTAAAACAATATTTTATAGATAAATAAATTTATCAATTCATGAATACCCTAAGTAATTGTTCTTCTCTGCTATGCATGTCAATAAGCTTAAGTGACAGTTAGTCCCCACTGAAATAAAAGCTGTGCAAACTCCAGTTCTTTCTTTAGTGTGCAGGCCTGTTTCATATGAGCAGAATTATTAGCAATATGTAGTACAGCACTGTGCATTGCCTTGGGTTCGGAATAACTTTGTCCTAGATACCGTCTGTGGCTACATCAGGGACTAGGCCTTTGGAAGCATTTCAACTCCAGGAAACATCTGACTGTGTAAATAATCTCTAGTTTCACCTGACTTAGAAGCTATGGACAGGGCAGCCTGACCTACTGAATAATGCACCTATACTGAAAAACACTCTGTGCATCTGATATCCTTTGCATTTGAGCAGGGCTGCCATTGTTTACATTTCCTGCCAAGCTCCAAGTCCAACATTATAGCATCCCCTAATGTTGAAAGCAATCCTTTCGCTGTTAACAGATACATGGAATGAGATGAATAGATGAAAGGCCAATGTCAGTGAAATTTAACTTTAGAACTAGTTATGATCTATATTTGTGTAGAGTGCAAGCTTTATGAACACTACTTTGAACACCTATTTAATCCTTATTCTTGCTAGGGTTATTTTGAGCTTAACCCATCCTCACTGTTTCTCTTAAAATTGTCAATAAGTTTTGCTTTCTTCTATGCTCTCTTACATCATTTTTGAGGCATCAGCTAAGGCTGTGGAATGGACAAAACTGAGTCCTATGTTCTGAGGATTTTGTTCCAATACTTGACCATTTAGTCATCTTGAGAATATTCTTTATCTCTCTTTTGTATCTTTATTCTGAATTTCAATTTTTTATTTCAAAGTAGACTTTTTTCCTCCAATAAAGTTCTTTTTCTTCAGCTTCCCTTTCTTTTTGAAAAAGAAAAAGTCGAATATAGAGTGTGATTCGATATAAACTAGACTGTAGTGTTAAATGCCTCTCAGTCTCTTTCTAACAGACTAGTTAAATAAAAAGGTTGCTGGGAGCCCATTTTCTTGTAGTGTTGGGTCAATTCTTCATAAATTCAGTTTATAAGCTGATAGTGTTCCTCAAAGCAGAACAGAAAAGCAAAACGTGTTCACAGTTTCCACCAGTTTGGGTATGCAAAATACCTAACTTTGTATAAAATTGGATTTTTCAAGGATATAACAAGCTTCAGTCAATCACATCAACAGTTCTAAAAATGCATGTAGAACCAAATCTGATTACCCAGTTTTCTAGGCAACTATGCGTGAGTAGAAGGAGGGGCTTGAAGGGTTGGTAAGTAATGAACAAGCTAAGGCAGGTGTATAAGCCCACTGAAGCCCAGTGAACAATCTGATAATGTTTATAAAAGTGTGAAAGAAGATAGAAACTATATGATTTTTAAAACACCCCACATAAAATTTAAGATCTAGTCTCCTTGGTCTACATAGTGATGTGTCTTTGCTTTAACGCAGGGCCTCGGCAGGGATGTGGTGGTTATCTGACAGGTTCAAATTATACCTTTGCCTCTCCTGATTCTGATAAGAATGGAAGATACGACAAGAGTTTAAACTGCATATGGTTCATAACGGCACCTGTAAACAAAGTAATTAAGCTCACCTTCAATACATTTGCTCTGGAGGCAGCAACTACTTTGCAAAGATGCATTTATGACTATGTAAAGGTAAGGCTATTATATTCCGTAACAGAGTTTTCTAATCCCAGACATTTATATAGTGTACTCCAGTTTATACCACACAGAAAGTCCTGAAAATCGTGAGTACTACTAATTTTTTAAATGACCTATTCTTCAGTGATGTGATATATAATATTACAGATGCTCTGTCTTCAGATCAAATTAATCTTTAATATGGATGACTCAAAGATTTTGTGTGGCTTCTAACATTAGCCTTAAGATTCACTGTTCATCCATGCCTTGTCAAGAGATGATCTATGGGAAGATGATTTGTGTGGAAAGAGATACTCAAAGGACCTTTGGCAAGTTCTAAAATAACTGACAATGTCTATATGCAAATAATCACCCCTTAATTTATCTAATTTTAAAGTTTATATATTTACTTCTCATATTACCTTTAGATGTGAAAAATATTTTAGTTCTGAACTCCCATTAAAAGTAAATCAAGAAACTTTTATATTCAATTTTTAATGACTTGAATATTAAATTTTTGTATCTGTCAGGCTATGTAAATTCAGATTAAAAGGGCTAAGTAGCATCAATCAATATTTACTACTATACTCTTAGGGGAGAAACAAGCATGACACGATTTCTGCTCATGAGGACCTTAAATCTGATTGCGAAATTAATGGATGACACACGCAAATCAAAAATAAGCAGTTCAGGATAGTCGATATGTAAGTGGTAACTAATGTATTGGATACAGACTTGAAACAATGTGTAAGTTTAAAAGAGAAGAAGGTTCACGATAATCTGGTGTGAACAAGAAGGCTTCACAGCATGAGAGAAAGCTTATTCAAGTCAGGAGAGAAAGGCTTCTAGGCAAGATGAACATTAAAAAAAAAAGGCATAGAAGTTGGAATGTGCATGTTCTTGAAAGAGTGAAGAGGCTGTCTTTATTAGAGCAGAATATTACTAAAGAGTAGCAAGAAATAAGATTGCCTAAGTGAAGAAATATCCAGATTACAAAGGATCTTGAAAGTCAAACTAATGAATTAGATTTTATGCAGTTGGAAATAGGACTGATTGCAGGTTTTCTAATGGATGGTATGATGAAAGCAGTATTTAAGGAAGACTAACCTAGAATCAGTGTTCAGAGTGCATTGTCAAGGGGCGGGTCTGGAGTTAGGACCCCAGGGAGAGGCTGCCATTAGGAAAGGAGGGTGCAGAGATGGCGGAGATGATAAGCCTGATGCAAGAGAAACTTTTAAGTTCAAAAATTGTCTTAAATTTTAAAGAAATTATTTCTTTTAAGAGAAGAGAAGGAAAACTCATGCATGGAACACACATTTGAGCACTTAATGATATACTGTCTTCTATTTTCATTATGAAAAGTGCCAAGCCAGGAAGACCAGAAGAATGTCTGTATTATTAGGAGTAGACCGTGGTTTGTAAGGTGTTGGTTCAGTTTGGGTGACAGCAGGGTAGACAGGTGGGATTGCCCATGGGCAGGGAGTGGAAGGGAGCTCCAGCAAGAAGACAGCAGCACTGATAGAGAGGAGACAACAACAGAGCACTTCTGAAATCAGGAGAAATGAGACTTTCTTTGAGGGAGACAGCATAGGGCTGGAAAGCCACGCTCCCACTCAACTCCAGGAAATGTCCACAGTGAGGCAGTTGGCGAGGACAAAAGTGGCAGGACAAGAAACAGACGAGTTATGAAAAAAATGTAAAAACCAGGAATAGTGTAATATCACTGAAGTCAAGAGAGAAGACTCTTTTACCAAGGATGGGTGGTCAATACTATTAAATTGTAAATTGGAAGCCAAGAAAGGTTAAGATGAAGAAAAAATTCATTAGATTGGATGACAGCCATTTAAATAAAGTCTTGGCACAGAAGCCGGGTCAGAGGGAGTTCATAAAAGACTAGAGATAATAAGGAATGTCAGTTCAAGTTGAATTCCTCTTTTCTAAAATGAGACCAAAATGGCCAGAGCAACAGTAAAGCTGATGTTCAAGACTGTTCAAGAGATTCCCAGATTTTACAGGAAGGTAATAAGCTTTAGAGACAGATAATATGGACTCAAACTCAATTTTGCCACCCAACAAATTTCCATATCTCCCTGATTCCTCATCACTTCCTCTATGAAAAAACAACAACACATAATCATATCTCTCTTGCAAGGCTGTTTTGAGGATAATGTATGCTAGAGTGTTCAGCACTGTGCCTGACATATAATTTGTAAGCAAACCTATTTCTTTTTTCCCCCCTTTGTGTAATTCCAGATGGGCATGAAGGCAGTGGAAATCTCCTTTTCTTAAAAAATTAAAAATAATTGATTCACATATACATTATTATAAATATAAATTCACATGCAATGTTTTGGGTGTGATCCTGCTAAGAGGAGGGTTGACTGGATTTATTCTCAAGATCCATTTCTATGAATGTGATTTGATAATGTCATTAAAACAACAAGTAATTTTCTGAATTTCCTCAAGTCATTTAGGACAGAAATAGCAATATCAAAAACAAGGAGTTATTTTCTAGCTTCAAAATAAAATGTCTTTTTTTTTAAAGAAATTCTGTTCAGATCTACTCTTGTTTTCCTTCTTGGGAAAGCAGTTTCTCTCAGTTGGCAACTTTTCCAGCTTATACTAAACTGGCAGATCAAAGAATAGTCCTTGGAATGTGAAGCCTAGAAGTATCTTTACTAAAGAGATTCTGTGATAAATAGGACATTCGATTCCTTTTAGATTGTATCTTAGTTGTTGTAATCAAATCACTTTTTAGAAAAGCTAATTTAATTCAATTCTGAAGGTAGATATACAAGTGAAAACATGCCAATTCCATTATTCATTTGTAATTATATCACTGTTGTTTTTGAAAGGGTTGATTTGGAAAGTTATTAAGATGACTGCAGTACATAGTGAATTGTGTGTTTCACGGAGTGGTTGAAATTAACGTCAGATCCATTCCATAAAGAGTCGTGTGGCATGATTATGTGCCGGGCATTGTGCCCCGCACTAGAGTTGTGGAGAGTTAAAGATGTGGTTCCTCAAGGAGCTGTAAAGTGGAGGAGACCAACACGTAAGCCTATAAATTATTATACGACGTGACAAAGATGATAAATAGGAACCACGTAGAAAAGTAGAGCGGAAGAGGGTATGATCGACTTCATTTGGGGTTCAGGAAAGGCTTCCTAGATGGGGTGGCTGAGCTGGGTTTTGGAGGAACGTCACAAGAGCGTCCTTCCTATATGAGGCTGGCTACCAAAGAGAAGGAGGTAAGGACGAGCTGTGAGCTACATAGTGTCTGCCCTGGTTCATGACATCAATTTGCCCATCAGTGAAGTCACTCCACTTGTGGTGAGCAGCGAGTGAAACAGCGGAGAGGGCTCAGGACTGTGACCCTAACTCACGTTCCTCTGCCGGGAAATATGAAAATAGTGGAAAGAAGATGGCTCCTTCCTAACATTTCCCAGCATCTCCTCACCCTGTTCAATGCCTGTTTTATAGCCAATATTTTGTAATGCTTCCTTGACCATCTGAAGCGAAGTCGTTTTATGCTATAGCCTACCCGATATACATAATTTCAAAAAATCAATATAAGGTACTAAATGCCATGAAAAGGAGACATAAAAGGAAAGTATATAAAATAGCGCAGATTTCAATATGTAAATGCTCTGACACAACTATGCTCAGTCACGTGATAGAGTAGTCAGATTCTTCTTCTATGTGGAATCATAGCGAATGTAAAAGTATAAATCTAAACTAATACAGGTGGGCTGTACTTGCAACTTAAATGCCAATAGCAGCATCACGATCTGCAATATGAATTTCCAAAATGGTGGAAAAACTAAAAAAAAACTAGTTCTAAACAAAACAAAGTACAGTCTTCCCTCAACTTACACAGTAATTGCATTCTTGGAGATTTGGTGCATATTACAACTCTGCAAAAATATTTTTTTGTTTATATATGGAATAGATTTAGGTTCTGGGGTCATGTAATTATAAACAGCTTTATTATACAAACATTCAGAAGTTATGTGGGACATAGAATAAATCTTCACTTCGTACAACTGTCCTGTGAATTGCAGGATGGGATTCTGCAATGCAGCTTCTAAATACCGAATGCCAGTTATGGTCTCAAATTACTGCGATGACCCAAAGACACCACACTTTTGCAAAACACTCCCTAGGGGATGGTACTGTCCCCAGTGAGAACATCTATCTTAACCCACTGGGCTAACCATTCAGTCTGTGGTCAGCCACTGGGAGGAGGGGCTGTCCGTCTTGGGGAGGAGATCAGCAATCTGTCAAGGCTTCAGGTCTGTATCTTTATGAGGTGGTTCCTACTATTCATTCATGCAGTCAGTCAGTCAGTCAATGAATGTTCATTTGAGCACCTACTACTTTCCAAACACTGTTCCAAGCACTGGAAAAGAACAGTGAGATACAATAATAATAATATAAAATTCCTACATTTACAGAGCTGATTCTAATCATTGTTTCTTGTGGCTCTTCCTGAAACCACTGGGACCAGTATAACTTTTTTCCCAGATGGTTCTAAAATGGATCAGAGTTCAACCCCAAACCTGAAAAATCACTCTCTATTCTCTTTCCCATCCCAAATTATGCCCAGGCATGTTGTCTAGCAGACTCTAACAGAGACTCCTCAATAAAATCAAAGAATTCATGAAGATCCTGTAAGATGCAATGTAGATATATGCTCCAAATAAGAGTATAAAAATCCTCCTGTTATCAAATTCCCTGGGAAATATTAAAAGATAAAGTCCTAAGGAATTTAATGTCTAAAATTGTTAAGTTAAGGGGCCGGCCCCGTGGCATAGCCGTTAAGTGCACGTGCTCCGCTGCTAGCGGCCCGGGTTCGGATCCCGGGCGCGCACCAATGCACGGCTTGTCAGGCCATGCTGTGGCGGCATCCCACCTAAAGTGGAGGAAGATGGGCACGATGTTAGCTCAGGGCCAGTCTTCCTCAGCAAAAAGAGGAGGATTGGCATGGATGTTAGCTCAGGGCTGATCTTCCTCACAAAAAATAAACAAATAAATAAAATTGTTAAGTTAAATTTGAATAGAATTGATGTCCAAAGTCAAAGTCTATTGCCCTTTTGCATTAAAAGTTCATAGAAATTAAAATCCCCAAATTTCCTTCCCCACTTTCTTCTACTGCTCAAATTAATGGCTGGATAAAGTGCAGGATCTTGCAGTAGTGGCAGTCAGAGGCTGTCTTCCACTGAAATTATTAGTGCAATTCCTTCAGGATCTTAAATATATTCTAATATGCTCCACTATCAAAGAGTTTTAAAAGCTGAGAAAACACAAAATTCTTCTCAGTGCTTGTCTACATCCACAAGACTTAGAACATAATCCATGCTCCGGGTCTAAAGCAGTTACACCAGGCAACCTATGCCCCCAGGATGCAAGTTGCAGCATGCGATTGTGTACGTCCTAAGGGCACAGTCCTGCAGGCACCATTTATGCCCAGTGTGTATGATTCCCCGTCTCCAGCGTTGTACCTGCACCTCCTGCAACTCAGTCTTGAGCTACCCTGTGAAAGTCCGTAGTGGAGGTTCCGAGTTATCAGGGAATGGGAGAGCAGATGGAGAAGATCTTGGCTTTAGCTACACAGGAGTCCAGGAGCCCATGCCAGTTGTCCAGAGGCCACACCTGTCTATTGCAGCTCAATTAGGAGAAATCTCATTGTGGCAGTGAATGATCTCATGCAAACACCAGCTCAAGGCTAGGTATTGTGTAATTCTCTTCCGTCACATTTACCAGTTGGCTATTCAAAACCCAGATCAGATCTTGTAACTCCTACAGGAGAAGATGCAGATTCCTTCACATAAAACGTATGGAACTTCACAGACTTGTCCTAATGTGCTTTCCCAGTCCGCCTTCTATTCTCTCCTCTAACCCCCAGGCACATCAAAGGGTTGGGAGTTGTTGAGAATGCCGTGCCTTTTATGCTTCCGTGGCCTTCCAAGTCATGTTCCTCTTTTGTAGGTCTGGAAGGTCTCTACTTACTTTTAAATACCAATTCAAACGTCTGTGTAAGGTCTTTCTTGACTCCATTATCTGTTCCTCTGTTACATTAACTTCTTTTATTGTAGTACTTATTTTTCTTTATTTTATATATAATTGACACATACACACACAAATATGTATATATGTATATTTAATTTATGGGACTTTCTCTCTCACTAGTTTGTGAGTGTCCCATTGTGTCTTGAATGTATGGAAAGTACCTTATACAATAGTCCCTCCTTATCTGCAGAGGATACATTCCAAGACCCCCACAGGATGCCTGAAACCACGGATAGTACCAAACCCTATGTATGCTATGTTTTTTCCTATTCATACTTACCTATAATAAAGTTTAGTTTATAAATTAGTCACAGTAAGAGATGAACAACAATAACTAATAATAAAATAGAACAATTATAACAATAAATTGTAATAAAAGTTATGCAAATGTGCTCACTCTCAAAATATCTTATTGTACTGTACTCATCCTTCTTCTTGTGATGATGTGGGGTGATACGGTGTCTATGTGATGAGATGAAGTGAGGTGAATGGCGTAGGCATTGTGAGTAGCGTTAGGCTACTATTAACTTTCTGATGATACATCAGAAAAAAGGATCACCGAGCCACAGTGACGTCAATGGCTGGATGTCAGGAGCAGACAGTGTAGATGGTTAGGGATCCAACAAATGGATGAACCACGTCCAGGGCGGGACGGAGCTGGCCAGCGTGAGATTTCATCATGCTGCTCAGAACACCGTGCAACTTAAAACTTACAAATTATTTATTTCTGAAATTTTCCATTTAATATTTTCAGACCGTGGTTGCCCGCGGGTAACAAACTGCGGAAAGTGAAACTGCAGTTAAGTGGGGGATGTGTATACACATCCTTGTATACAGAGGACCCAGCACAGAGACCAGGCACACAGTACATAGAGTAAAAATGTTTGCTAATATGAATGTGATGATAAAAGCAGCCATGATTAGAATAAAATTTTAACTTGTTTACCAGAAAAAGTACATTACCTAAAACTTGGTAAATCTACTCTTCTACAAAATGAGGGGATTATATAACCCACCTCTTGAGGCTCTTCTGGCTCTAAATGAACTAAAATCACATTTAAGCAGGAGAGACAGTGCCATCTAGTGGTAAATTTATTTTTCTGTTTATTTTGAAATGATTTTCAACCATTTCTATTTTATGTATTCCTAACAGTTTAAAATGTCAATGGTCATGGCTATCCTGAGGTTTATAACACATCATAGTTCTGTTATAAATTTAATATTTGGATCTACACATACATACTTGTTTCAGAAATACCATGAAGATTACTCAGCTGGAAAAAACTTTGTTTTCTAGTGATGTGTCTGAGAGAAATCTAGGCACCCACTATTTCAACAGATTTTGTCGAAGGTTCGGTGTGCTGGGGACACCACAGTGAATAATCAGGCTTCCCACCCTTGAGACTTACATTCTTGTTGGGAGAGAGACCATAAAAAGTAAATAAGCAACAAATAGGATACATTTTGATTATAATAAGAAACTAGAAGGAAGACGTTGGGGGAGGGCAACATGAGATAGGGTTGGGCTCTCTGAGGAGGTGACATTTGAGCTGAGACATGGAGGCGTGGTCTGTCCAAGAGCTGAGGAGGGGGTGCTCCCCGCAGGAGGAGCAGGGGCTGCAGAGGCCTGAGCTGGAACTGTCCTGGGACGGAGGGATTACAGGATGCAGAGGGGTGGGAGCCGCAGGCCAGCCCAGGTAGGCGCTTGAAGACCCCACCGTAAAGAGTCCGGGCTTTCCTTTAGGTGCACTGGGGGTCCACTGGAGCATTTTAGGTCGAGCACAAGCATAATCTGATTTTAGTTTGCAAACGCTCGGGCAGCTGGGTGGAGAAGACTGTGGCTACTCTGTGGAAACAGATCTATTAGGAAGACGTTACGATAATAAAGGTGAAGGACGATGGCTGTCGCAATGGAGATGGAGCCCTCTGGGGTAGATTTTGAGGGTAGAGTGGAATAGATGCGGGGTCGGGGCAGAGACAGAGAGGAATCAAGGATGACTAAGTTTAGACTTGAGCCATGTACTGATGTAAAGAAGACTTCAGGAGAGCAGGTTTGGGAGGAGCGGATAGTGAGAAAATGAATCAAAGCACTTATTCTTTTATTAGATATTTATTGAGTGCCTTTTATGTGCAGACACTCTTGTAAAAACTGGGGACACAGCAGTGACCAGAAGAGACAGCAAGCTATGCTCTCGTGGAACTTGCATTCTCTTTAGAGCGGAAGACGATAACATAAGTAATATATTTAGTATGTAAAGGTCATGCATGCTCTGAAGACAAAATAAAGCAGGAAAAGAGAAAGAGAGTGATGGAGAGTTTACATTTTAAATAGCCTGGTTAGGGAAGGCTTTACTGAGTCGATGATATTTGAGTAAAGGCCTGAAGGAATGAAGGGGAACAAACTGTATGGATATATAGGAGAAGAATGTTCAGGCCAAGGGGACAACAAATCCAACAGCCATGAAGCAGGAGAGGGCCTGGTTTGCTCAAAGAACAGAGAAAACAAAAGCAGAGACAGTATGATATCAGAGGGGAAAGGTCAGGGGTGGGAGAGGAGAGCAGATACCATCAGGCCTCGAAGGCAGTGGTAATGACTTTGGCTTTTAAATTGAGGGGGTGGGAATCAGTTAGGTGACTTAGCAGAGCGGTGACCTGGTCTGACTTACATTTTAACTCTATCCTCTGGCTGACATGATGAGCAGGCAAAGAGGGAGAGGAGCGGAATCAGGGGCCTCCACGGGGAGGCGACCGTGAGAATCCAGGCAAGAGATTCCAGGCTCGGACCAGTGCCCTGGTGAGAGGGGAGGTGAAGCCAGTGATGGGTTTGCTGACTCTAATACACATTATTTTTTAAATCATATATTACTTTCGCAGTGAGAAAAAAATTTTAGGCATCATACCAGATTTTTACTGAAAATCATTATAATGTCATTGATTCAATAGCAATTCTGTTCCTAAATTAAGAGTAGCTCTAGGAACATCAATGTAAGAGTCTGAATCATGACCTATTGTGGCCTCACGTCCATTTTAGTGTAAAATATGCTACTTATTTGTGAATAATGGAGAACTAATGAACTATTTTTCTTTTCAGTTGTATGATGGGGATAGTGAAAATGCCAAGTTGGCTGGAACATACTGTGGTTCCATCCTACCTGCTCCCTTTGTCTCTTCTGGTAACTTCCTTACCGTTCAATTTGTCAGTGACATAAGTTTGGAAAGGGAAGGATTTAATGCTACCTATACCATTGTGGACAGTGAGTAAATTGAGATGTTTTTATATATTATGAAATACATGTGTCTTTACGCACTAAAAATAATGCCATGCTTACATCTAAACTCAATGTTAATTACTAAACTCAATGTTATTTACTAAACTCAATGTTAATTACTAAACTCAATGTTAATTACTATCTAAACTCAATGTCAATTACTAAACACTGTGTTAATTACTCTGTTTAATGCATGATACAAATTTGATACAATTCTTAGTCAAGAATATACACCCTAAATCCTTCATAGAATGATGTAACTATAGCTCCTTTGGGCTGGAAGGGTAGGAAAGGCAGAATTTTAAATATTGTGTGTGTGATGAGACATGAGTACAATTTATCTTGTAAGTTGTTCTTTTTTCCCATCTCAGTGCCTTGTGGTGGAACATATAACGCAACTTGGACCCCACAAAGTGTTTCATCGCCCAATTCATCAAACCCAGATGTCCCATTTTCCACGTGTACTTGGGTCATTGAAGCTCCTCCACATCAGCAGGTCACAATAACTGTGTGGGCTTTACAGCTGCTCTCGCAAGACTGCGACCAGAATTACTTAGAGTTCCAGGACTCACCGGAGGTAATAATTGTAGGATGAATGACCGTCATGTCTAGTGACCTTTTCACCAGTATTTGCAAAACACTTGATGTAAGGAAGGCATAATTAAATAAATTCTCAAAGTTACTCTCAGCTTAATGTGTTTTTCAGCCATATACAAAACTGTCTATTTAGGCATTAAGAAACTTGAACTTGGTCCTAGAGGTCAGGAGCTCTCAAATTTTCATGTGCATCAGAAACATCTGAGTGTCTTGATAAAAGTGCATATCTATGGGCCTCACCCTCAGAGATGGGTTTCTCACATAGCGCCCATTAATCTGAATTTTTGATGAGCATCCCTGGTGTTCTGATACTGGTACTCCATGGACCACAGTTGGAGAAACACTTCTCTAGTTAGTGGGATCTATGTACAGGATGAATTGAACGGGACAATGCAGAACACAAGGAAATCAGTTGAGTCCATTTGGCACCAGTTCAGTGGGACTATATTCATGGTGATGTAAGAGAGAAAAAGCCATTTTGGTTAAAAAAAATGATAAGTCTGAATTGCCTGTGGGATAAGATGTTAAGAAGATAGTTGGACATGAAATTGTGGTATTGACAGAAGGCCTGAAGATTTGGGTGTCATCATCCCAGGAGTCAGTAGCTGAAATAATGAGAGTAATGAGATTATGCAGGGACCGTATGTAAAGTGAGGAGTCATGAACTGAGGATGGATACCTGGGGGAACACCTGGGAGGACATGGATTGTCTCTCTGCAGTTTGAGGAGCAACCAGTCTACCCCAGTTTATTCCAAGAGTGTCATATTTGAACCTCCATGTGCTGGCAGTAATAGAGAATCTAGTCTATCATTTTCTGAGTTTTGATGATCCTTCTCATTATAAATCCAGGGTCCCCCGGTTTGCACATGTATCTTGGTGGGGGTATAAAAATCCAGTTTTGCTGACTTCAACGTGGAGAGGTCTGAGAAGTGCTGGGTGCTGAGTAGACACCAGATTTACTGAATAGCATAGACACTGAGATCCATCCTAGGCTCCCACAGGGGTCAAGGTGCTAGGTTATCATCCTTCCTGGAAGGACTTAGAGCCAAGTGGAACAAGGTCCTTGGGTGAAAGCTCTTTCAATTTCCCATTGCTTCACGAAGCTGAGACAATGGGCATCAGGGCCGACTACCATCTGGGTGCAGATATGCTACTTAGAGAGCACAAGGCAGCTCAATCATAGCAGCTACATTGGCCTCAAATAAGACCCAACATTTGTCATGAATGAATAATGTCCTTTGACTGAATGCATAAAGGAAAGAACAAAGGGTTTCAGCCTGGCTAGGTAGGGAAGAAAAATAAGAAATTGATAACTGGGAGAGACTAGAACTCTTAAGGTGTCCAAGAATAGAAAGAGCAGATATAGTCGGGAGATTATGAAAGAATCATGTGGTGGAGGCATTATAGATGATGAAAACATCTATCTAGATAGCTGGCATTGGAGAGGGCAACCACAGAGAGTAGAGATGAAAGACATTGGTAGTAAGGAATGCAAATTAGGATGTGTAATGGCTCATCTGTAAGAACACTGAAACCTCCAAGGGTTAAGAAAGGAACTGGGGTGCAGAAAATGACTAAGAGCTAAGACACCACAGTCTTTAATTAATGAAGGGAAGTAACCAGAAGGAAAGTAATTGAGAAGGATGAGAAGGGTCAGAGTATCTTTGGCCAGATGTAGAGACCCTCACAGGAGAACTAGCTTTGATGCAAGGATAGACGCTGCAGTGAGCAACCTAGAGAATCCACTCCACCCCACCACCACCATTCCTACTCAATGGATTGTGGAGTCTGGGAAAAGAATGGCCTCTACCAGGGGGCTGCTGGAGATCCAGGTTTCACTCAAGGCCACAAAGTGAAAAAGCTAGGATATATACAGGGGGTGATTAACAATGCAGTCAAGTTCAGAGGATACAGCAGGCAAGGTTAGGAAAGGACCAACCCCAGGAGCCAGTGCGGGGCAGAAGCACACATCAGTAACAGGAATTTGCAAGCAGGGGTGGGAAGTGGGCCTTTCAGTGGGTGCCCAAGAACTACAGGTGTTAGAGGCATTCCTGTGAGGGAGAGGCAGCAAGTGTCCTGATTTGGGTGCGAGTTGTTTTTATGCAACGGTTGGTAGGCATTAGACTGCGTTTATCCTAGTCTCTTGGGAGGTGATGAGGGCTGCCCAGGTTTTGCAAAGGGAAATAGGGCCCTCATTACAGGCACCGACTGCCTTGTGGGATTCACAATAGTGCCAAAGTAGATTTGCCAAGGGGTAGCGAGGGCGAGGAGCACTGTTGGGTTAGTTCAGGACTATGGAGAAGCCCAGATGTGCTCAGAGCAATGGCCCAGGCCTTGGCTACGAAGCGGCATTGAGAGGGGAAGGGTCTTGTCTTCAGTAGGCAAGTTTTGTGGATTCCAAGACCAATGTGAGTCTTGTTGCAGAGCACTTCAAACGCTATGATTAGTTTCCATGGCTGAACGTTTAAGCCATACTTTTACATGCATTTTAATTTCTGCTATGGCCTATTCTCTTCTTTTTTTTTTTTTTAACAATTTTATTTATTTATTTTTCCCCCAAAGCCCCAGTAGATAGTTGTATGTCATAGTTGCACATCCTTCTAGTTGCTGTATGTGGGATGCGGCCTCAGCATGGCCAGAGAAGTGGTGCGTCGGTGCGCGCCCGGGATCCGAACCTGGGCCGCCAGCAGCGGAGCGCGCCCACTTAACCACTAAGCCACGGGGCCGGCCCCTGGCCTATTCTCTTCTGAAACTAAATCTCATGTGACTTGGCTTCCATTTCATTTCAGAGTAACGAAAATCCAGGAATTCAGTTCTGTGGCAGAAATGCTTCCGCGGCACCCACGTTTTATTCTTCTATGAGAACTGCAATTGTCATTTTCAAAGCCGCAGTGTTTAACAGAAGCTCGAGAGTGGGTTTTACCTATCAGATTGCAGGTGAGCTCTGGGACTTTATCTTTTATTCAGAAAAACTGCCGTCTTTGTAATCACCAGTAGAATTGACTCTTGTGAGTGAATTAGGGTTTGTTAACATAAACCACACCCATGTGAGGTAAGACTCTTCACTAGAAACCAGGCCCAATTTAGCAAATTACTAAAGCTGGTTTATGAAGAGGTAAAGTGAATATAATATTAATTACAATGTTTAGAATGCCAGCATATTCTTCAAAGTTCATGTATTTAATTTAAAAATACACCAGTTATTTTATTAATTATCCACTTGACCACATATAGAAATCACTCTATCTTAAGAAATTATTTTGTAAAAACCAAGAAGCCTTGAAAGGGTATTTGATTCCTATAACTGAGATGTTTATTTCCAGAGAACACTTTATTTAACGTACATTTTAAACTTGATTAACACTAAAGCTGCCTTTGATGAAAACAAACAAAAATACTTTGGGTATTTTTATCAAAAATGGTAAAAAAACAACAATTTGCTAGTTCTATCAGAATAAATAATTCACCAAGAGATTTAAAGGGAAATCCTCATGCAAAACTCTGTCTTGGAGGTAGAGACTTAATGCCTGAAAAAGAGTCTAAATGTCAGCCAACTGCACCTCAGTGTGATCAGAAAAGTGCAGAGAATGCTAGAATATTCATCTTTAAAGGAGAGTGCTCATATTTCCTATTTCAAATGGGGGTGTTTTATGTTAACCAGACACTGGCCTCCATTTGCTGTATGTGCCATTTATTGCACCTCTGGGGATCTCAATTACGTCAAAGGTAAATGAAGAGGGTGGATTAGCTTTTTTTCTAAAGTTTGTTCAAATTTAATGATCTTTTAAAATTATTCCTGTCAAGTTGCAAGAGCACTAAATATTGGGATGCATACATTAATTATGAATATTTTTTTCTCTAAGATTGCAACAGAGAATATAACAAGGCATTTGGCAATCTGAAGAGTCCCGGATGGCCGGATAATTATAACAATAACATGGATTGCACTATTATTCTCACAGCCCCACAGAACCACACAATCTCCCTCTTCTTTCATTCGTTTGGCATCGAGTACTCAAGTGAATGCAGACATGATTTCTTGGAGGTAACATGCTTTTGACGATCATGTAAATGAATTGTTTAAAAGATGATGGATCACAAGATTTCTCACCTTTTTTTCTACTATTGCTAATCATCTATCCCTTACTCATTTCATTAATTTATTCATTATTGTTTCATCCCATAAATATTTGCCAAGTATCTTCTAGGTCCAGGCACCAGAAATCCAACAGGGAACAAGACATATTCCGGGTCTCCAGGAGGCTCATAGTCCAATGGGAAAGACAGACAGGAAATGGTCAATTCTCATGCAATGTGGAAAGGACTAACAGAGTCAGCACGGTTAGGGGCACCTAATTCAGTCTGGGGACAGAGAAGGCTTCTTGAGGGAGGTGCTGTGTGAGTTCACACCAGAAGGACCAGAGGGATGTCCAAGTGCAAGGTGCTTATTTTGAAGGTGGACGATTGCACTGACTTGAAGAAGCTCCCTCTCGTCCTTTCTGCTCAACATCACCTCCATTGTTTAAGTGAGAAGGACTGTTATGTTTTGGTCACATAACAGTGAACAACACTATTTGAATGAGCCCATAACTGACACAGATGGTGTATGGAGCTCCGTGCCTATATTTTGCCATAAAACCCCAAAAGCTCCGCTGGCTGTCCTTTGCAAACTCTGTTGGAAATGTATTCATTTTTAGGAAATTAACTGAGGTATAAGACTTGTATCTACAAAGATGCTGAATTCCTCTGTGAATTGAATTTGAATCTAAACCTTGCCTGAAGCTCTCTAAATGGGCTTTGTTTCATGTACATGAGAGTCTTCAGTAGGCTTTCCAGAAAGTTTGTTTGCTCCTCAACACCAGATATGGAGTTTTATTATCCTGGAAGGCCTTCCCCTATAGAATTAATCTAAGACCTTTGTTAATGAATATTCTCAGCCTACAGCGTAGTAAGTACTGGCAGGAAGCACATGCCTTTTTCATGGGGAATACTCACCATGGCAGGAAACTGGGAGGAGGTGGATGTAGCAGGGAGGAAAGGAGAGAAATACAATATTGTTGGTGTCAACCAGGGTAGTAAACTCAGACCTCTGTACCTCACCCACCATGGAGTCTAGACATTCGTGTGAAGCGTAAAGCAGAAACGCGGGGAGAGTGGGATACGGAGAAAGGACAGAATAATCAAGTCAGCTCAGAGTCACAGTGCAGCTGCTCTCGGTTCACCTCAAGCCTGAGTTGACCATTATTGACTGCAGTTAACATTTGCTGTCTCCCTCTGCATCTGGGAAGTAAAGGCTAGCTCCCCAACTGCCCTTCCTTCTTCCATAGAAATGGATCTGAAACTTCCTGTCCAATAAGCAAAGGAAACTGCAACTTAGGCCCGTAAAGTGCAGCTGCGTCTGGTTTTCGGCAGGAAGGTTGTGGTGATGGTTTCTTGGCAGCCGTCCCAGCAAGCCTCAGCACTCCGTTCAGGCGGAAACGGAAATTTCTTACTGAGGATTCTGACTGTGTTACTGCCACGTAAAGGCCACGCTCTGGATCACATCTGGAATCTCCCTTTGAGTTCAGTGACTTCACCTCCCCCTTTAGGGTTCTCTGAAGTCCCAGAGATGTCTACTGCTCTCATTGTCCCCTTCCTCCTGTGAAGAGAGAAATGAAGAGGACGACTCATTAGCATGGAATTGATATCTCACTCCTCGTCTCAGAGCATCAGCTTTCTAAAAGAGGACCCAGAGGAAAAAGACCCAGAGTCAAGAATATAGTGGTGGCGGGTTAGCCCTCCAGCATCCTTGAATCTGGCAGCCCTCTCTGTCTGCTGGGAGTTAACTGGCTACTCCATCCATGGCAAGGCCACTTTGTTTAAACACTTAGCAGAATAATCCAAAAAGCACCTGAAAGGCATTATTCTCTCCCATGGGCTACTACATAGCCCTAAGAGGAATCTCTCCAGATCAACACCACCCAACAAGACTAGCCATTGCGCCTCTGAAGAAACTCTGTGACTTAAGACAACCAGCAATTAACAAATGTGAAACTATGAAATTATAAAGGGAATGGAGGAACTTCCAAGATTTTGAATGCATATATCAATAAAATCATTCATACCTGTTGAGCTGGTTCCAACTCCACACTGCCTAGATGACATTTCTCTAATACTCCCTAAGAGTCCTCCTCGGAGTAGGGCTGGTTGTGAATGTGCAGTAGAAGCAGTGAGGAGGGAATGTGGTTGAGTTCACAGTGTGGTTACCCACACTCACACACTGACTCATTTCCTGTTTTTATATGTGTCTACTCCCGGCAGTGAATTAAAAAGAAATCCGTTCAGCTTCAGAATGTGTTTTTAAAATATACCAATCAGAAATTTTATAGATTTATTGAGTTGAGTCCTTTTCCCATACAGAAATTCCTTTTGTTTTGAACTTTATTCACCTTTGTACATTGATTTTTTTTTTCACAGCCAACTAATTTTCAAGGGGAAAGCACGCGCGCACGTGCGCGCGTGTGCACACACACACACGGTACAATGAACAAAGTATTAAAGAGCTGACTGGAAATGGAGCAGGCAATATTCCCCCTTCATCTTTTTAAAATTCACAGATGTCTCTGAATCCAAATGTAAGTGGTTTTTGATCTACAAATTGAACCTTTGTCTCCTCTGCAAGTAAAAGTGACTTCCGGGTAAATTTTCAGAAAATCCTTCATTCTTAAGTACATAAGAAGACAGAGCTTTTCCCAGAAAAGTTGTCATTCAAAGACATCAAGACATGGTCTCATGTCTTAATGTATAGCGATGATAAATCAGAGAAGAAAGTATAATATGCTTAAGTATAATAATAAATGACTCATTTTAAAGGTAAGAAATGGGAGTGGTAGCAGTTCACCATTGCTCGGCATATACTGTGGAACTCTGTTGCCAAATCCGATCTTCTCTCAGAATAATGAACTATACCTACGATTTAAGACTGACAGCGCAGTTTCCAGTCGTGGATATGAAATCATTTGGACCTCATCACCCTCAGGTAAGACATGTGCATCGTGTGAGGGAAAGTAACGTAGGTGAGAAAAACATAAGGTGTCTAATAGAAAAAGACAATTAAAAGTGATTTTATATTTTTAGCCATCTGTATACTTGATTATTTTCTGATAAAAACAGATTTTTTAACAAAGTACAGAGATTCGTTGTAATTCTACTTTTACTTATTGTTTCTATATATTACTTTGTATTAAAGAATATATATTTATATATAAAGCATAGATAAGGTATAAAGATTTAAACATTCCTTTATAAATTCTGATTTTGTCATATATTTTTTTTTTTGCTGAGGAAGACCGGCTCTGAGCTAACATCTGTTGTCCATCCTCCTCCTTTTTTTTCCCCAAAGCCCCAGTAGATAGTTGTATGTCGTAGTTGCACATCCTCCTAGTTGCTGTATGTGGGACGCGGCCTCAGCATGGCCGGAGAAGCGGTGCGTCGGTGCGCGCCCGGGATCCGAACCCAGGCTGCCAGTAGTGGAGCGCGCGCACTTAACCGCTAAGCCACAGGGCCGGCCCTGATTTTGTCATATTTTTAACTTGTGGTTTGTTCACGAACGTTGTTCTCCGAGAATTAAAAAAAATAAGTTTACCAAAAAGCCAAATTCCCAACACATACTTGTGAAAACATAAGCAGCTAGGCTCTTTGAGTCCCTGTCATTTCTTGGCAGTCCTGGAAATTAATTGCTTTTTCAGGGCAGTAAGTATCTTTCTGCATTTTTGCTTGGTTGTTTATCAAATAACTGCAGGAAATTTAATGTCAATATATTTAATTCAAGAGAGGAGAAATACTGTTATTAAACATCCCCAAACTATCTAAAAACTTTCAAAATAAGAACGATAAAAATGACTCATTTTAAATATACTGAGGGACAAGAAAATTGTTCTATCAAGACAAATATAGATAATGAAATCTTGGCACCTAAAGATGCTTAAAGATGATGATTTCCAATGCCCTAATTTTACAGGTGAGGAAATAAAACACCAGGATTAATGAGTTTCCCAAAATGCACAGCGAGATTGTGGCAGAGGCAGGACTGGACCCCCAGTGGTCAGACTCCCAGCCCCGTGCTTTTTAATGATGCCATGCAGTTTCTTCCTGTGTGGACCAGATCTGGATCCCCAGGGCTATCTGGTCCAAATAATGATAGCTTTAGTATACAAATAACAAATGGAACAAATTAGCACTGATACTTAAAGAGCTTTGGCTTTGAGTATGTCAGTCTTGGAACTGTCAGTTATAAGCCTGGTACAGTCACTTTTATAATAAAGTAATCACTGCCAAAAACCTGCAATAACACACTCTTTTTCAGGTCAGCCCTGGAATTTCACTTTTAATTTTACTTCACCCATGTCATTATCATCGATTCACTGCATATAGAGAGCTCTACACCATCAAAAGTACACGAAAACAACTTTAATTACTCTTTCCTACAGTAACTTTATCAAGTTCTTGGTTTTCCCATTGTGTTCTCCACCCACTATTTTCAAAGAGCAGACCTGGAGGAAGTTGTCCCTAAGTCATGATGTGCAAGGAAAGGAATCTATGGTGGAGGGAAGAGGAGAGCGAAGAATGGGGGGGTCGAAGTGGTGAGGGGGGGATGTAGCCCAAAGAAGGAACTGGAAAAGGGTTCCTGCCTCCACTATTCTTGCAGAGGGTCTCAGCACCTTAACAAAATAACAACCATCTTATTGCCTTACAAATGCACTAAAGCACATGGGATAGTTTCTACTTTATTGAATCAAACTTCCTGATTTTGTTTCCTTGCAGGCTGTGGTGGAACTCTCTACGGAGACAGCGGCTTGCTCACCAGCCCTGGCTATCCGGGCACTTACCCAAACAACACTCACTGCGAATGGGCCATCATTGCTCCTGCGAGAAGACCTGTCACCGTCAGCTTTTACTTTATCAGCATTGATGACTCTGGAGACTGTGTCCAGAACTATCTCATACTCTATGATGGACCGGATGCTAATTTTCCATCCTCTGGACCATATTGTGGTGCAGTGAGTAAAACAAACATTTAAAATTACCATTATATGTTTAAATAATGTAAGTAACTTAGTATACACTTTTAAAGGCAGACACATGCAAAGTACAAAGCACAATGTACTTTTAGAAACTTGGTACAGTTTTCTGCCTTTCCTTTCTATTTTGGGAGCTCTAGTGCCACCTAATGGGCATTATGTTAAATTAATAGTAATAGTTACAAACTGTAGGGTACATCAGAATCACCTAAGCAGTACTTGGCATTACAGACTTCCGGTACCCGCTCACACCTACTGAATCAGAATTTCGGGGGAGGAGCCTTGGCACATTGTTTTTTAACAGCTCCATATGTGATTTCAATGGTTGAATACTCATGTTTCTTTCTGCATGATTAGTACTATAGAAAATTCGGATGCCTGGCTCCATTTCATCTACTTCTTGCTGAAAATTGCAGGAATTCTTTGAAGAAATACACAGAGATATTAAAGATTGGTCTGGTGACTAGTAGTTTGATTGTTTTCGTAAAGTTCTGATGGGCCCGATCGTCCCTAAACATCAAGTTAGAATTCTGACATTGACTCAGTATTGCTCGCATCTGCCCTCTCATTCTACCTGCGAGTAGATACAGAGCTTTCAAGTAAGGGAAATGGGAGTGATGAGAGGTATCTGTTTCTTACTGTTCTGCTCTTCACTCACTCAGGCTTTCTAATCAAACTGGACAGAGAATGACACCAGTTGGAAATCAAGAGTTTTTTAAAAAATAGAACACTATTTGTAAAATTGAAAAATGTTATTTTCAGAAATATTGGAAAATAGATACATTTTTCCAAAACCCTGGGAATTCTCCCATATATTCTTCAGAACACCTTTCTTGGAATGTTTGCATATACACACATATTTTATACTGTTTTGTGCTGTGGTTTTTCCACTGACTGATGTATCACTAACGTTTTACCATATCAATAAAAACACTGGTGTATCATATTTAATCATTGTGTTACATAGATACAGCCTAATTTAATGAAGTCCTTCTGGTTTATAGATAACACTTGGATAAACTGTCCAGTAGCCATATCCTTACATACAGAGTTAAACTACTTAGGGAGATGTTTTGGTCACCTGACCAGTAAATACTATATCACTATTATTCACAGGGCCCCACAGAAAAGAGACCCCAGGAAGTGTGTCAAGCATCAGATTTAGAAGCTGACTAGGTCTTAGACATTTAGTTGATATTTGTAAATATTTCAAAAGGGAGGAAAAGAGACCACTTTAACAATACCATTAGTCTATATTTGTATGGCTTTTTTTTTTCCTTTGGTTTTCAGTGACTTTCAAACATCCAATCCCATTTGATCCCCACAGTGACAATCCTGAGGTGGAAAAAACAAGGATAACCTGGACTTCGCAGATAAAAAAAAAATCGAGGCACTGAGAGGAGAACTTACTGCCATATAAGCCAATATGACATTAAATCGAAGTCTATAACTAGAGATATCAGTTTTTCTAAACTGTTCTGTTTACGATATTTTCCCAGTTCTACATTTTCTTTTATAAATATGGACATAGTTTCAAGTGTAATTGTTTCTTTTTTAAGTTAAAGATACTACCAATTTCTTTAGGATTTCAAGTCCAATAAAGTCTGTTTACTTACAGAGTGATGGTGGAAGTCGCTCCTTAGATTGCTAATCAAACAACGATTTGAAGATGTTTACTTTTATGATAAAATAAATATCATTGTTCATGGGGAAATCCTGTATCACTCTCAGTTATAGAATCTGAATGTCTAGAAACACGAACGAATAACAGGAAAAATACGGAGGCTCAATGCAGAGTTTAAAACTTCAGTGAACTGTCCACAGTAGTTTGTCAACATAGAATAACAAGTGGAAATTTGGGAGCAGATTAAAATGGAAGGAAAAAGTGCATGCTCATGGGCATATACAATGTTGTATATACCTTGATATATCTAAGGAAAAAAACCCTCTGTGTTGCATTCACTTGAGTAATTTACTGTCTTGGAAATAAGTCTGTGTTGTGATGACTCTTGGGTAGGACCATGGCAGTGGACCCAGCAGAATAGAGGAGCAGGGCCCCCAAATGCCCCCTTGACTTGGTGTGGATGTGCCCACCTCCAGGACAGTCTCGCCTTGCTGTGAATTTTACTGACTTGTTTGGTTCCTAGTTTGCCTCCTCCCATTAGAATATTAGCTTTATGAGAGCAGGGCTTTTTGTCTGTTTGGCTCATTTTTTATATCCCCAGTGCTAAAAATAATACCTGCAACATGGAAGTCTCTCAATAAATATTTGTTAAATGAATGATTAGGAAATGAGAGAAAACTGAGACCCTTCTACCTGCCCCCCGACTACACATACATAAAACACACATTGTTCCACAGAAAGGATATGAAAATAAATCCCAAAAGGAAACTATAGATGTTAAGGGGGAAAAGTAGTATACTTTACTCATATGATCATTTTAGTTGCAAATATAAGTATGTATTTCCATCAGAAAAATTAAAATTTCAGTAAGAACTTGCATTGGAAATTCCATTTTTAATGACAGTTTTATTGAGATATAATTCATAGACCATATAATTCATCTTCTTAAAGTGTACAATTCAATAGTTTTTAGTAGATTCAAAGTTGTGTAGCTATCATCACCACATAAATTTTAGGACATTTTTATTACCCTAAAAAGAAGCACTGTATCCATTAGCAGTCACTCCCCATATCCTCTTGACACCCCCATCCCCAGCAATATTCTTTTGTAAAGTGTCTACATTAATTCTTAGCAAGATTACTTCCAGAAATATATGCAGGTTTACTGTAAATTCTATGAAGCTTCATTAGTACTTTTTTACTATGCTAACATTTCTAGAAAAATGTTCAAATTTGTGAAAAATATAATTCGTTACTTCTTTTTTTTTTTTCAATTTTAGGACACTAACATAGCTCCCTTTGTGGCCTCCTCGAATCGTGTCTTCATAAAATTTCATGCTGAGTACGCAGCACGCCCATCAGCAGTCCAGTTAACTTGGGACAGCTAAATTCAGAATGCCCTGTCCTTACACAGCACTTTGGCTCTCCTGCAGAGGCCACTGGACATCATCACGCTGGACAAAATTCTGCCATCCTGAAACACGACGCCCTCCCTATGCCACTGTGAATAATTCGAACTTTTATGTTTTTCACCAAAGTATATGTGGAATCAATATTTGTATATAGTTCTTTGAATGTAGAATGCAGCCTCTTGGCTGTACACATCATCCTTACTTCTAATATTTTGAGCTGAAGACTTTCAAAAATTCCTTAAAGAGTTGGAAATGATTATGGCACATGTGATGTAAATTTTCAACCGTTAATGATAAGACGGAAGTCTGATTTTCACTGTGAATGTCAGATTATGGGTAATAAACATTATTGAATTGTACACAGCGACGCTGCATTAATTTTAACTCATTAAAATTTTGCCTTTTATTATGGAGTATATAGAAATTTTCAAGCTGAATTTTTACATTTTGATGAAGTACACGAATCTTTCAGGATAGGAATTCCAGAGCTAAGCTGCAGTTGAATTTAGTTCTGCTAGTTAAGTGCTTACCTAATGTCTCTGTGCCTCAGTTTCCACAAGTACCACCGTTGTCTGTTCCTAGGTTAACAATGCAAAATGTGAAGTTATAAATAGTTGAGCAACACTTTTATAAAGTGTTCTGCTGCCTTTAACAAAGCAAGAGACTTTATGTTAAATATGCAAAGTTAAGTCTTATTAAGAACATGGGACCACGTGAACGAAAGAAGCTGTGGAATGTATGATTTCATCTTACTCTAATACTCAAATGCCAGAGAAATTATTTCTGCACACACTACAGAGCCACATAAATAAGACATTCTCACCTTAAAAATTCCTGCTTCCTTTAACTCTGTATTATGGAGAGATATGTCAACGTTATGGACGACATGCTATTAGAAAGAATGGTGAACGCGATGAATAACACCATAAAATCCAAAGGGTCTTGACAGGCTGGAAGAATGGACTGAAACTCTCAAGATGAAATTTGCTAGGGGTAGATAGAAGATCTTGCTCTTTTATCTAAAAATGAATCACGAAGATACAGAACATGGAAAAAGTTTAACAATAACATATGAAATGACATAAGAATTTTATCTGAAAGCAAGATTAACATATGCAGCTGTCAAACAATAAAAGAGGATTTAATCTTAGATGGCATCATGAAAGTAATGGTATCTGCAAGAGTCATTTTCAGTTGGAGAGACATGCTTTCCTAGGAGGCATATTAAAATGTCGACGCAAAATAAACAATAACCATTCTATAGATAAGAGAAATAAGGTGAGTTGACTTGAGCCAAAGTGAGGATTATAACCCCGGAAGGCCTTAGAAAGCGGTCCAGGGAAGCATGGTTTTCAGTACAGTCTTATCTTTTTAGAACAAAGAACATATATTAAAGACACCCAGGATACATTTTCATCAAAATTTCAAAGGTATTTAGTTGCAAATTAGCAGGTCAATGTGACCGTGATGTCAGGGAAGGGACTAATCTGGGCGTTACCAATAGGGCGTTACCAATAGGGCATTACCAACAGGGCATAGGAGGGTAAGTATACACTCTCTTAAGAGAGTGTATTCTTTACTTTAATGATTAAGCAGATGTACAATGTATGTTTGATAGGCCGTAAGTCAGGCTTTTTAGTTCAAGAGAATCAGTTTTGATCCCAAATCAAAACTGTGAGAATCTCTTTTCATTAGAATATCGAGGAGGTGTCTACACCAGGCTGAAGAAAGCATAGTCAATATCACTGTGCAGTTTTTACATTGAATACTTAAACAAGGAAAAAAGAATATTTTCTCCCATTCTGTACGTTGCTTTTTCAATTTATTGATGGTTTCCTTTGCTGTGCAGAAACTCTTTAGTTTAATGTAGTCCCAATTGTTTCTTTTAGTTTTTGTTGCCTGTGCTTTTGGTGACTTGTCCAAGAAATCATCGCCAAGACCAATATCAAGGATGTTTGTCTCTATGTTTTCTTCTAGGAGCTTTATGGTTTCAGGACTTACATTGAAGTCTTTGATCTATTTTGAGCTAATTTTTGTGAGTGGTATAAGATAGAGGTCCAGTTTCATTCTTTTGTTTGTGAATATCCAGTTTTCCCAACACCATTTATTGAAGATACTGTCCTTCCCCCATTGTGTATTCTTGGCTCCCTTGTCAAAAATTAGTTGACCATATATATGGGGGTTTATGTCTGGGCTCTCTATTCTGTTCCACTGACCTATATGCCTGTTTTTATGCCAGTACCATACTGTTTTGATTGCTATGGCTTTGTAATATAGCTTGAAATCAGGAAGTGTGATGCCTTCAGCTTTGTTCTTCTTTCTAGGATTGCTTTGGCTGTGCGGGGTCTTTTGTGGTTCCAAACAAATTGGGGCATTGTTTTTTCTATTTCTGTGAAAAATGCCATTGGAATGCTGATAAGAATTGCACTGAATCTGTAGATTGTTTTGGGTAGTAAGGACATTTTCACAATGTTAATTCTTCCACTCCCAGAACATGGGATATCTTTCTATTTATTTGTCTTCTTCAATCTCTTGCATCAATGTCTTATAGTTTTCAGTGTGCGGGTCTTTCACCTCCTTGGTTAAGTTTATTCCTAAGTATTTTATTGTTTTTGATGCAATTGTAAATGGGATTGCTTTCTTAATTTGTCTTTCAGATAGTTCATTGCTAGTGTATAGAAATGAAACTGATTTTTGTGTGTTGATTTTGTATCTTGCTACTTTACTGAATTCATTTATTAGTTCTAAGTTTTTTAGTGGAGTCTTTAGGGTTTTCTATATATAAAATCACGTCATCTCTCATTAGTAAGACCCATCGCATGTCCTCTGGTTCTGCTTTACATTTACTTCACTCATTTATAAATGTTTATCTATTATGCGACAGGTACTAAGCACACTGAGGATAAACCAGTAAACAAGACAACCATACACTCCATCAACTGATGTCTCCCTATTTCAAAAAGCCTACTTCCCAGCTCCATCTTACCTGATTTCCTGAGCCAGTCCTGAGGCAAAATCCTCAATTTCCTTTTCTGTGAAACTTACATTAAGCCAACTTCCCAGATCTGGTGGCTAAGTGATAACTTTCCTGCTCCCAGACTGCATCACCACGAAGCTCCATTGTTAGTAATCGGACCTCTGAACAGAGCTAACAATCAACTAGTTCATAGTGGTACAGGCGTTCTGGTTGTTAAAATATTGAGAAACACCAAAATGCTGCTTTCAGGTGCGTAAGTGGAATCCAAAAAGCCATAGTGTAAAATGAATGGATTTGAGGAGGGGGTAAGGGGAAGTCTTAGAAATTAATGGAAAACGTTAGTCCACATAGGTCTGAAGGAACCTAAAAGAGCACAAATGTAAAGGAAAGGAAATGTCTGCTGTCCACAACTGATCAAACACTGAACTGAGAAAGTCTCAAGGTCACGTTCTAACTCCATCCCACTCCCCACGAGAATGGGAACTTTAGACACCCTATTTGAGAAGGAGCAGGGCAGGGACAAGAGCCAAACCCCAACCTCACCTCCTCCCTCCAGCCTTCTCCTGATCCAGCAACCCAAGAGCTAATGCTTGGCCTAGAGGGGGGCTGTAGGACCCTGTTTCAGCACCAGCTGGTGGCCATTCTGGATTCAATTCTTCTGGCAATACCCATCTCTATCTCCTCATAGTCTGGGACCCAGATTGGGGGGAACCAGGCTTCCATCCACCATCTGATCTCTCTCCCCTCCCGTTTCCTGTCTCCATAAACAACTGGACCTTAGTAGGAAGATGGTGCTCATGCCTTCTGGTCTTCAGGGTTAATTTGAGCCATTGCTGGTCAGAGTCGCCCTCATCTGGTCTTCAGGGAACTGGCTGGGATAGCTCAGGGCGAGGCCGCCACAGGCTCTCTCTGGACCCAGTGGAATCTCCTGGCACTTCAGGCATTCTTGTGAAGAATGCCCCAGGGAATGGAGGGGGCCAATGACAGTTTGGGGCTAGGAGATGCCTGGGATATGGGTTCTACTTGAAATAATTTCCTATTAAATTTCAACTCCATTTAATGGGAAGAATTTGTTAAAAATCTGCCACACACTCACCAAAGGAATACTAACATCATTAATTTTATTAAGAAAAATGAGAGCTAATATCTATATAACATTTGCTCTACACCAGGCATCATTCTTATGTATTACTCACTGAAATAGAATATTAAGAACCATCAGCCCCATCTTATAGTTGAGAAAAATGAGGTATGAAAAAATTATATAAAACTTGAGTGACAGAGCTGAGATTCTAACCTTGGCAACCACCCCAGAGAGTGCCTCCCACCCGGCCTGAAGGATTAGGTGTGAATGACAGTCAAACTATCCTCACAGATCTATTGAAATTATTAAAAAAAACTGACACTGTTATATGACCTAGAAAAAATTTTAATGTAATTGCTGTTAGTTGAGTAAAAACTTAAAGATTATACAGCATCAAAAATAATGTTAGTGAAAGAAAATTTTTTAGTTGTTGAGATCACACATCACCCCATGGCTGTCAATTTAATGGGGAAGTTATTGGAAGAAAAATGATATGATAATTCTTGTATATTTGACGAAGAATTTGCTTTTCAAATTTTAATTTGATAATTTTATTTATATGTCACTTAGTAAGTCGTTTATTATAAATACGGTTTAGGGAATAAAAAAGGCTTTTTTTTTTTTTTGGTGCAGATCTTTGGAAAGATTTGCTCTGGGCTAACATCTGTTGCCAATCTTCCTCTTTTCTCTCCTTCTTCTTTTTTCCCTCCCCAAAGCCCCAGTGCATGGTTGTATATCATAGTTGTAAGTCCTTCTAGTTCTTCTATGTGAGCCACCGCCACAGCATGGCAACTGACAGATGAAGTGGTATGGTTCCATGACCAGGAACCCAAACCCAGGCTGCTGAAGCGGTTAGAGTGCCAAACTTTAACCACTAGGGCATCAGGGCTGGCTCAAAAACGGCATTTTTAGAAT